CAGCAGAAAAGAAAATCTGACCTTGTAGTTTATACAGGAAAAATTCGCGAACACGTTGCTTTCTCTTTATTATTTGTTTCTACCTTTTACCGTATGAGTGGGAACGACGAAAAAAGGAAGAAAAATGCACGATGATTCAAATTATTCAATCGTAAAACACATTAGAAGCAGCACACATAAAAATAATAGCTATTACTATGTTTTGTCTATGTCCAAATCGATTATGTCAATGTTGTACAAAATTTTCACGTGATTTTCGTACATTTATTAGCCAGGGTAATATTTTGAATTTAGCTGTTGGTTTTATTCTTGGTCAAGCATTTACTAATGTTGTACAATCGTTTGTTAATGATATTCTAACACCACCATTCGGTTTATTATTTGATAATGTTGATTTTTCTAATTTAACGATAAAGATGTTTCATTTTTATCGAAATGAAACAACACCGGTTTTATTACGTTATGGATTATTTACACAACAAATATTACATTTTCTTTTAGTTGGATTTTATTTGTATCTTATTGTTACGTGTATTAATAAAGTAAGAAGGTGGAAAGAAAAAATGATTTATCAAAGACTTCAGAATGAAGAACAACAACCAGTCGAGGGAGAAACGACTGAACAAATTCAACCGACTGTTGAAGATGAAAATACAAAAGTCTTAAAAGAAATAAGAGATTTATTATTATTAATAAAAGTTAAAATAGACGCTTAAATTATATTTTTCAGACTTTATTCTGCATACTGCAGTATTAAGCAGCAAACATCAGCGACAATAAGTTTTGACGCAAGTTGCAGCTTTTTAACTGTATTTTGGGCTGATATATTTAATTTTTAAATGGTTAGAGTGGGCTGGCTAACGAGCGAATCGATTTAACTGTTAAACCGTTTTTTCAGTGAGACCAAGTGAATTGTAAGTTATCGACTATGCTGATTCAGAATATGACCATGGTAATTGCCTATAGATCTCCAGAGATTCGGTTGTTGGAAAATCACATGTTCAGAAACTAAAAATTAGAGAAATTTTTTCAGAGTCTAGAAAATAACCAAAACGTTTCTTAATGAGGCATAATTGTAGTGCGCACATTTCTGATTGAAATGAAACATCTTCCAGCTTTACACGACCTTTCTTTACAAAGTTATAAAATTCACAAGAAAAGTCCTAAATTAATTTCGTCTTATTTCTGTAGTTTTGAGCTGACAATGAACATTTAAGGCTTTTCTTGTAAATTCTATAACTTTGCAAAGAAAGGTCGTGTAGCGCCGGGAGATGTCTTTTTTTAATGAGAAATTTGCGAGCTACAATCATACCTCATTAAGAAAGATTTTGGTTATTCTTTAACGCTTTCGAAAACTGGTTTTCCAAAACCCGGATCCCTGGAGACCTATAGGCAACTGCTATGGTCATTTTCTGAATCAGTATAGTCGATAACCTATAATCCACTAGGTGTCATTGAAAAAACGATTTGACAGGTTCCCTCGTAAGACAGAATCGAATCTTTCTGCAAAAACTATCCTTTTTCCTGGAAAGTACAAAGTCTTTTTCTCAGTGGGTACTGCTTGTTTTCTATTTCAAAAATAAAAGACATTTTGTTCACTTTTTTTCCTTTTAACCATTTTCGCCAGCGATAAGTACGTCTTTTGAGTTTAATCAAAATGTTTTTTTCTAAACAGTATTCATCATATGATCATTTCTTAGTAGCCTATATTCATAAAGAAGAGTTGACATATCAGGAGAGGTTGGGGGTAAGTTCAACGAGTTACGTTAACGAGCCCGCGTATCACTATAAGTTTGCAGAGATAGAAGAATAGTTATTAATGTACAAATATAGTGTCATTTATAATACTCGTTGAATCATGTGAAAATGATCATTTTTCAAAACCATTTTTCTAGCGCTAACTCCGTTGAAGAAGATTTTGGCCATTTATTTCGTTACAAGGCAGATGTCGTCTTCGCTTACGCATTGTTGCACATCATTACGAAGCTTTTTTTGTCAAAAACGGACTGTGATTTTGCAATCGATTAATAAGTATGGTCAAGAACATTACAGTACTAACCTAAAAAACGCTTATAGGTTAAAAGTCATGCTTACGTGGACATCTGTCGAACCGGCTCGTTAACGAGTCGAACGTAACCGAGCGACTCAGCCTGGTACATGCCTAGAAAGGTCACGAATTTTCAGTTAAAGGACTTAGAACGAATAAAATAAGGTAGATACAAGCAGAGACAGGATACCTAGACCCTGACCTGTGACCTGCACGGGTCAAGGTCAAAACTTGTAGGAGAAACTAGAAAGTGTAACTGTAAGGTGGCTTATTGTTATTCGATCTAATGAACAATTTTGCCTCGGGTCTGGTTCTGACCTATAAACGTGAACCTGGACCTGTGGACCTGCACTTGAAAAAAATAGACCTAGACTTGGACCTGGCCTGAACTTGTGACCTGGACGATGGGTCCGTTGCATGAAAAAATTCTGAGAGTAGTGCGAATTTACAATATCCTGTACTAGAGTTTAATAACAGTCCTTAGAATATATGAGAAGCACGTGATAAATATTTTGAACAAAAATGTCTTTAGGTAATAAGGTTATTACGATTTTTCGTATTGTTCTCAGAATTTCCAACAGGAGAGAAAACGTGTATAAAATAATTCAGTTTCACACTGCTAGATATAGTCAATGGCTGATATGTTGCTTATGCCGACAGGTCACAGGTACAGGTTCAGGTCAAAGTCCAGATTCACGTCTTGCAGGTCCAAGTCCGCTTTTGCTAGGTCATGTCTAGACATATGACCTGGACCTGACCTGGAGCATCCCTGTCTCAGGATACAAGTACGTGAATACATAAAAACAAGGAACTATAACAATATGAAGTTGTAGAGAATTGAAAATCTTATCAAAGAATCACTTTCAGTTTGGATGGTGAGAAAAAAATAAAAGTTTTTCGTACGTACGGAACTGTTAAATCGGCTAAATTTAGTAAAATGAGAGTCCCCTTCACATCCATCTTAAAACTGAACCAAACTTTGCCAGGACGTTCTCCTATATGACAGCTATCACCACAGTTCGCACAAATTAGCACCAATATCCGTGGGCTTAGATATCAGTTTTCCAAAAAAACCCTTGATTTTCCAGGTATTTTCCATTTATCTTAGCCCAGAAATGTTTTATTCGATAAAAAATGAAATATTCAGAATCAGCGTAAGAAACTGCATCGAATGATGTGCGGTTAGTAGGTTTTTCTGAGCAAAAACTTGTTGGATCTAACGAAACGCTAAAGTCGAAGCATAGCGTGACAATTTTGGCTAAGGATTTTGATGTTTGTTATAGAAGCAATCGGAAAGTCTACAAACACCTTTTTCATAGGTTTTCAGATATGCTCTTTTCAGTGGTGGGCTTTATAAAGTTTCAGAATACTTATGCGTAGATTTTCTACAGAGTATGTCCCGCCAAAAATTTCAAAAAGATTCGGTGTTCGTGGGTTATATCTTTTTCTACTTTCATTTCTTCACGTATAAAATTTATTCTCTAATCTATTTACATACTCTAATACTCGCAAACTTTGCAGTAGCTATAATATCGGATCTTTCTGTCGGAGAAACCTTACTAGTAGTGGCAACAGCTGTGGGAGGTCGAGCTTCCACTTCACAAAATCTTTGACCACTGTTTAATTTAACCTACTTTCGTATAGTGGATTTTCGTCGCGGACTAATAGTTTTACATCTGTTATATCTCCGCTTTTCTATAGTGTATATAGACTCAAGCTTTTTTCATCTAAATACATTTTTCTCTTTATCATAAACTACACTATCCTTAAAATTAACACCTTCACTATCCATGTATCATATTTGATACATTTGCAAGGGTAGACTAAATATGATTTTTTGTTGTGAGTACGTTACAATTTTCAAAATGTTTTACTACAGCTCAGAATTCTTAGATCCTCTTAGACTTATTTTCTTTTAATGTTTTACTACACGATGTTTAAATGAAATAGTTTCTCCGGCATAAATGTCACCATAGAAACAAGGAATTCCATGTACCGCAAATTCATTTAAATGTTCATTAATTTTAGTTGTGGTATTTTTATGCTTGTCCATTTTTTGGTTTCAAATTATTACTACCTAGTGCTATTTTCTTTGAATTATTTAGGATAGCTTCTAAGCTACGATTTAATGTGATATGAATTCTAATGTAAAACTAAGACAGATGTCTTCTTAATTTTTCGATAATGCCATTAACATGAGATATTACTATTACACTATGAGGAATTAATGAATATTGCTAGCTTTTATCGTTTGAAGCTAATATTTGTTTCTCAGATTCACCCAATACTTCATTTATTACTGCCGACGGATAACCACTGTTTTTTAGCATATCTTGAAAAATAGGGTTATCCTTCCGATTCTTTTTATTGTTATTAGCTAGTCTTATTCTATTTGCCATATTAGTAACAATATTTTTCTTCATAGCATAACTATGATCTGAATGAAAGTTTAACACCCGGAAGTCATGTCAAATCTAAATATGTTACATATTCCGACTCCTTATGAAACTCAAACACTTTCTATAATGATATCCCAATATTCTACAAGCATAGTCTGCCTTCCTTATAAAGCAGAGAATCAGACAATCGGATAATCTTATATGTTGAATATTCAGATTTGAATATTCTCTAACTATGGTTTGTCTTGCTTGTGAAGCAGAGAGGCAGACAATTATTAATAAATCAGTCATCATTTGCAGGTTTTACGGAAGTACAAAATCAAATGTATGCAAAACTATATGAACGTGAACAACAACAGCAATTAGTATTTACCGCAGTTACATATGGTTCACGGTATGTATGATTTGAGCTTTATTCAGTATAAATTCATTATCTCAGTGCCATGAGTCACCAGAGTTAATAGAAGCGAAGAAAAATAAAATAAAGTAAAATAAACAAGTTAATAACACAAAAAGAAGCAAAAGACAATGAGAGAAAAACGTGACTAGCCCAAATTTCCTAATAGAGAGGGGGAAAAGCAGCGTTAAAAAGCTGAACAGAATCGGTGTCACAAAAGTGGTTTGTTTCACTTATATATGTTACAATCGCTCTGACAACTGTCCGGTAGTTGTCAGGATTTAGGAATTCTCGATGAGGAGAGGCATAGATACTTATCATCTATTTGTTTTTCCAACTGAGCCACATTACAATCAACTTTTTCTATGTACTTAGGCAATGAAAGTCCTGGTTGTGACCCACATTATTGTACAGAGAATCAGAAACATAGTCCACATTCAAACGATTTAATAAAACACCAAACAACTGCTGCCTATGATACTATAAACACAACAATTGATCAATCATTTGAACAAAAATTAGATAAAGAAGCATTTGAACATCTACACGATGATGAGCTGTGTAATGTATATAGATCTGGTGTAACAAATTCAAAAAGAATATCTAGTTATGGATTCATTGCGACTTTCCTCAACTGTAAAGTAACCGTTGATTTCGACGAGACGCCGATGGCAGAGGGAAGCATGTCTGTCTGTCTGAATGTTTCTAAAAGAGCTTAGAATTAAGAGGGATTGTTAGGGTTTTGGAACTAAAATACGCCGATGTCTTGGCTATCGAATGACGAAAATCGTAACTCTCTAGCTATTGTTAGTCAAAAGTTATTTAAAAAATGGCTTTCGTGGGCACAAAGCAATAAATCGTTTAGGACAGCAA